TTATCTTTATCTAATTACAAAGAGATCTCCGTTTTTCCCTAACCCTTAACTTTTGGATGAACCCCCAATCGTAACGATATATATCGAGTCCCAAATAGATGGTACAAATTACCTAAATACTTTTGTACGGATATATATATATCAAGTTTCAGATAGATTGAATCTTATGTACGGATATATCCGAACCTTGGCAGATATATTTCCTCATAATACAAGGTATCAATCATCAACACATTTGTCTCCCGCGTAAGCACTTTCCTGGGCCTTGAGAAAGCTGAAAGAGATTCTTTATCAGCCTTGCAAATCTCTTCTAGCTAAATAGATGTGGGCACAAAATTGACCAAAAGCTAGGAAAACACTTTTCCAACTGCTATAGCAACCACCAATTCTTGTAAGTAAACGCAGGGAAGCGGTAGCCTAGTGGAAGAAAACTTTCAACAAATGCGATTGCATGCTTGAGATGCCACGAAAAATGATTAAAAATGTTTTCTTAACATATATGTTATGCAACCCCATTGCAGGGGTTTGTTCCACTTCATTTGGGGATACCATTTCTTTAGAAAATGCCGCAAGGCATGATCTAGAAAACAGATCTACAAGAAAAAAAAACTTGGTTCATGATTTAAAGTAAACAATAGGTTAATGATTTCTATAACTGGACAGACTTCGAGTAGTTTCGATGAATTGGACCAACTAATCTAGACCGTTAGACCATATTGGACATGCCCCTTCACTGGTTCATCACAAAGTTCAGTCTTGTTGATATACTTATGCAGTTATTCTATTGTACACTGTAAAAATAGCGTGGGTGTGCATACAACGAGCAGAAATGAAGTTTTAGTGGTGAAACTTTACATCACTTTCAACGTTTGGATGACAATCATGGGCGACTCACAGTTCAAGTCCTCGAAAAACTTTTGAGGGGTTTTGTAGTGGAGTAACAACCAATCCTGGGCATCTTTCCTTGCATCTGACATGATATGAAGAGTCCTTTGTGAATTGCACTGCACTAAGCAAGATATGATCAAGATTTCTTCCTCTCTTCTAGCATTTGAGTAATAAAACATAGACTTCTACGAAAATTGCACATGTTGAACTTATGTGTATGGCTTTAACTTCACTCAAACATGACAACAAATAGGGAGTGGCCCGCACTCCTGTCCCTTGTTAAAATCAATGTTTAAAAAATCGGTGACCCAACCCGACCTGGAATCAGGATCGAGAATCGCCATGACCGTCCCGAATCAGATAGGAAACCGGGATTATGTCGATTCAGAATAGTAAACTCGCCAATTTTTTCACGGAACAGCCCGATTCCGCCAATTCTTCACCGAGTTCGACCGATTCTTCACCGATGCCGACCAATTCCTCACCGAGTAAAGTGAAAAAAATTAAGATAAACATTTTTTTTTGAATTATTTAAAAAAAAATACCGATTTCGCCGATTCTTCCGATCTGATCCACCGATTCCCCTGATCTGACACGGGTATAGGTGTGACCGATTCAAGTCACCAATCAGTTTTTTTAAAACCTTGGTTGAAATCAAGTGCATTTAAGCGATGCTAGAAACTTAAGTGTGTTAATTGAAACTGATCCGATAGATATTGGGCACGTTTGATTAGTGGAAGCCACATCTTCCACCAACTCGGGCAAGTCAAACAATGGCATATAGAACCCGCGGCTTCTCCAAATCAGCATTTTTTAATGCTACCTTGGAGCCCCATGGCCATCCCAAGCCCATTTACAGCCATCCAATTTGTTGTTTTATGAGTGATTTCCTCTTGTTTGAACTTTGAATAATTGTCTAAATTTTGCCACAGTAACAATTGCTTGCATATGGAGCTCTCCATATTATTTGGGAAGCTACAAAACAACACTATGTTGTTAAAATATAAGGAACACTATAGATACCCCAAATCAACTTTGTAGACATCTTATTCCTAATACTTTTTATATCAACCCAAACACTATTTTTTTTGTATTTACCCCCAGTCAAAAAATCAACAATATTGGGACTAAAATGCCCTGATCTCCTCTCCCTTTACCCACTCTCTATTTTTCTCGCTCTATATGGCTGGATTTTTACTCTCTCTCCTCCCTCTCTTTACCTACCTTTTTTCTTTCTCTCTACCTGCCATCTCTCTACCCACCATCTCTCTCCCCCCTTTTCTCTCTCTACCCTCTTTCTCTCTCTACCTACCTCTCTCTCCTTCTTTTGCTCTCTCTCTCCTTATTAAGTGAAAACTGAGGAAACCATTTGCTTGTGCTTTTAGAGGAGAGATTCAACTAACCAATTTAATTTTTTTAGAAAACAATAATGAAATAAAAATATTCAAATATTCCATAATTTATAAACTTCATACTTTCCTGCTGATATCTCTAAATTTTATTAATATCGTTAGAAATCTAAAACATTCTCAAGACGTACTCCCATCTCTCACCCTGTCTCATCTATTCCCTGCCTCACTTTTATTTAAAAATTTATCTACCCATCCCTATTTTTTTTTTTTCTCTCTCATATCTTTTTATGCTCATTTTCCTCACCCCATTACCTCAGCTCTTCTCCATCTCCCCTTTTTATACCTTTTCCATCTCCCCTTTTTATCCCTCTTCTAAGTTTATAATGAGAAAGAGGGCAGGTAGAGATAGAAAGTGAGAGAGTGGCAAGGAGAAAGAGAGAGGGAAAGTGAGTTTTAGTAGAGAGAGAGTTTTGGGAATAGAGAGAATGAAATTGGTTGTTTCATAGAGAGAGAGTTTGGGCAGAGAGAAAGAGGGGAGATGACATGTGACTACAAAACATAGGGGAAGATAGAGAAAAAAGGGCATTTTAATTTTAAACTTTTTGACTGGGGTATATATAAGAAAAATCAGTATTGGGGTTGTAGAGGGAAAGGTTGGGCAAAAAAGAGAGAGTTCGGGCATAGATGGAGAGAGGAGATGGTATATGACTACAAAACCTAAAAGAATAGAGGAAAATGGAATTTTATTCTTAAACTTTTTTGACTTGATAAATACAAGAAAGAATAGTAATGGGCCTTGGGTGTGATACAAAATGTATTGGAGGTAGGATGTTTGCGAAGTTCATTTTGGGGGTATCTATAATTTTCCCTTAAATATACTACGTGTAAATATAGTAGTTGGCACTATCCTTGTTGAAGGGAGATTAGTCCCTATTAAATAAAGGTGACTTTACATGCAAAAAGCAACTTGTTTAGGTTCATGGATGCTTGTGGATGTTGAGTAAGAGTACCTCGTACTTTTTAAAATTTATAAATTTCATCACACTACATAAAATGATGTTTGAATGTAAGAGTATATGAGCCTACAACAACAAAAAATAAAGGTGAGAATCTGTAAAAAAAAAAAAAAAAAGAGATATAAATTGCAATAAAACGCAAGATCAAAGAATTTTCAATCACATGTATATTAGTTGTATTCTACATTTTTCATAATTTGTTATGTTTTCTATTTTTTTTCACAAAATAATTTAAGATGGTGATTAATTTTTTGAATAGCTCTCTGCCCATAAACTCTGTGGCAAGAGATCTGGTGAATTAGTTTTTCTAGCTTTTTCAATGGCTAGAAAAATGGCAGATAGGGTTGACCCCTCTTGATATTATTTCTCCATGCCGGTGTCCAACATGTTAGGAGCTAGGCCAAAGTTTTGGGAGCTAGGCCAAGTAACAAGTAGAGTAGGTTTTTGAGACAAAAAAAAAAGAAAAAAGAGGGGAAAATTGCTTAAAAACCCCGAATATAAACAATTTACCTTCGGAAAGGTTTCTATGCTTCCCCTACGGCATAAAAGTTTTTTCCCCCCATCATCCATTCGTCCAGTTTTGATGAAGAGAGCCACTTATCGTTTGATTTTAGATATGACATCTTAAAATATTTTATTTTTACTTTTTTTTATACAAATTGTATGAATATAAAATTTGGTACGTGCCATCTTCTCATTGGGACGCACCTTTAAAAAATATTAAAAACAAATTTTTGATAAGATATAATAACCAAAATACCCCTTAAAGTTTCATGGTTATTTTGGTCATTTTATTTTATTGAAAATATTTTTTTTATATTTTTCGCTAGTGCGAGTTTAATAGAGGAATGTACGTTCAAAATTTGGTGTCAAAATAATTTATAGGAAAAAATTTAAAAATAAAATAGTGGAAAGAGACATTGTAATTGAAGCAATCTTAACCCTCTATTCAAAATGGACGGTTGGATAAAAAGAGGATAAAACTTCTGTAGGGGAAGCATAGAGAGCTTGCCCATTCACCCAGCCTAACTTTTTTAGCATATTTTTTCCTAAAACTAATTTTTTTAGCTAATACCCGTAACACAAAATGTTTATCTATTTTTTGACAAAAAGACCCTTTTCGGACATAATAAATCATTTTCAGATCCCAATAAAAAAAAACGCTGGACCTCCTTGTACAATACCGGACTGTTAACTTCAAAATGTTGGATTGCCCTTTTAAGATAACATTCTGCTACTTTAAAATGCTGAATTGCCTTTTCAAGATGTTGGACCGCTATTTCAAAATACCAAACTGCCCATCTTTCCAATCTTCGAACCGTCACAATCAAACGTCGAACTGCCCGTTTGAGCAAAATAATCGGCATACCGCCTCTTCTAAACGTCGGACCGCCTCTTCTAAACATTGAACCACCTCTTCTAAACACTGAACGACCTCTTTTAAACACCAGACCGCCCTGTTCAACTAACATAATTTGTCATATAAAAGAAAGTACTTTTATAAAAAAAAAAAAAAAATCTTTTGTATTAGGGTATTTGCTAGAAAAGTTGGTTTTAAGAAAAAATACGCTAGAAAAAATTGGGCTCGGTTAAAGGGGTGGAAAAAACTTTTTCGTAAAAAAAAGGGAAAAAAAGTAAAGTAAAACTTTTGTATCAGGGTATTTGCTGAGAAGAGTTGTTTTTGGGAGAAAATATGTAAGAAAAAATTGGGGCGGGGCATAAGGGGCTGGAAAGTCCATGTTGGGTTTTAAGCAATTTTTCCAAGAAAAATAAAATAAAAGTGGGAAGCTCACTTCACTCTGTTTCTTCACCTCTCTAACTACCAAAAATGTCAATCTCTTGCTCCCTCGCTGCTCACCCAAACCCTAAGCATGGCTCCCCTTGCACTCGCCATTCTACGGTTCAACTCCGTGCAAATCGTTTTCTCAACTTCGATAGCAGGGATTGTTCTCTGAGACTTCAAATGGGTCATCAGTTATGCAAGTCCCTTGGGTTTTATGCAAATTCAGGGCTTTTCAAGGGCTTTTCGGTGCCTGGAAAGGTTGCTTTTGAGGTGCGTTCTGAGAATGGAGAAGACGACCAAAAGACGGTTATTGACGAAGCTGAAGAAGCTCGGGGTAAGAGCACGCTGCCTTCAAGGTTTAGATACTTGACTAAGGAAGCTCCAGATCTTCCAGTAAGGTGGTCATGGCTGCTAGGTATGTTACTCTCTCTTTCTATCCATCTCTCTCCGTATCTATCACTTTGTGTATGAGGTTTTATCTACTGAATCTGCTGCATTATGCTTGGCTTCCATTTTCTTATTTGCAAATGAGGATTAATTGTTAGCATGGGTTTATTTGTAACATTGTATTTTTTAGATTATTTTAATATTCCTTCATCTGGGTTATTCTGAATGGATGTTATATTGAGTTTGGTGTTATATCTGTATTTGTTTTTTATTATTTGGTTGAATTATTAGCCTGAGTTGTGTTGCTTGTATATTATTTACATTGTGCTGTAAGATTTTCTGTAGCTTATATTTTACAAGTAAGGGAACTTAAAAAAAAATAAAATCCTGGAGTTCTACTTTGCCAAAATTTTGAAATGTGCGTTCTTTATTTTGATACTCATTCTTGCATTCATTACGTTGTGTGTGTGTGTGTGTGATCCACTTAGATTTAAAAACTAGATATTTCTTTGTATTGTAATGTTAAAACATTGAGGGCATCACAGTTTCTTTTATTTTTCAATTTTACTATTGCCAATTTCATTCCCTTCATATTTTTGTGCTGCTGGGACCTTCCATCAAATAACCCACTACTCGAATGCAACATGTGCTATGAGCAGTGTTTGCAAAACTGCTCGAATGCAACATGTGCTATGAGCAGTGTCTGCAAAACTGCTCGAATGCAACATGTGCTATGAGCAATGTTTGCAAAACCGGGTGATCTAACCGCTAACCGCCCTGTTAGATTGGAACCGCCCACTAACTGCTAATTGCCCGGTTTCAGTTTTTGGCAGTTTTGGTGATCAACCGGTATTTTAAAAAAAAAAAATCAAACAAATGTATATAAATTCCCAAAAATAAGGAATTTGATTTGTAATGCATTTTTTAATATTATTTTCATTATGGTAAAGATTAAAAATTTGTTTGATGATTAATACTCACTTTTATATTTTCCCATCTTTTTTAGAAAATTTTAAAAATATCCCTAGGCAAATCGATTTGTTAAAATCCATTTTTTTTATTAATTTTCAACTACATTTGAATGTGTTTTGTTTTAATCATTCTATATATGCTTTTCATATTTTAGCAGAATTTTTTTTTTTTTTGTACCTTTTTTTTTCAACACTTTTTTGACCGCTTGGGACTTTCCCGGTTAGAGCGGTTGAATCAGCCGGTTTACCGGTTCGGCCGGTTAAACTGCTTCCTGGCCCACGTCCAATTAACTGTTCCGTTTCGATTTTGCGAACATTGGCTGTGAGTGCACACTAAATAGACCCACAATCCAATCCTTATATGTTTAGCAGTTTTGAGTACCCACAAGCCCTTGTAACTTTATAGATCTTTGTTTTTTGTGATCTATGAAAGTACTACTGTAGAAGCGTGCCGCTGTAGTTTGTCCATTTTCAAACTTGAATTTGGACTTCTATTCTCATGTAGTTGCTCTTCATGCTATGTGTTGTTAATGAAAGTTGTTTCAAAATTTATTCTTCAACGTTGCTCATCATGAGCAATACATCAGATAAGTATGAAGAGTGAATGATGAAATTATATATATTTTTTGAACCTGTTAACTTTGTATTAGGTAAGACAAAAAGTGCAAGCCAAAAAATGGGCTTCCCACTAGCTAGGAATTCTATACAAAATGGGTACCCCTAAACTTGGGGGCTCTATACAAAAAATAAGCATCCCCAGGACCGCAACAAAGATGGACAGTGCCCGCATGGATCAAGAGAGATCGATGTTGTGGTGCTAACTCCCAAGATGTGCCTAGGCCATGCTATTGGCTACTTCTTCTTTAGCTATCGTGTCGGCCTCGGCGTTGCTCTTCAATTATGCTTCCATGAGATGACCATATACCTGCAAATGTGATGTATTTCATCAAAGATATATGTGAGAATCCAAGACCATGGTATAGAACTGGGGCTCAAGCAATAACATTCTTAGAGTCTCCTTCTACTAAGAGAGTTGGGCTTCAAGAGGGATTGAAGCGTTTGAGCCCTTTGAGGAGTGCTAGGGCCTCAGCAGATTGGGAGTCAACATGTCCGATGTGTATGGAGTAAGACTTCACAATCTGGCCTTTGTGATTCCTGAAGAGACCCCCTATACCTGAGGGGCCAGGGTTGCCGAGAGAGCAACCATAAAGGTCAATTTGGATTGTCCTTGTTCAAGTGGCCTCCAACATGTGGCTCGAGAAATGCAGGGCTTCCGTGAAGTCAGCAGGGCCGGCCAATTGAGGAGGACAGCAGAGTATGGGACTCCTTTGAGGTACTTTTGATTGTGATTGGTAGCCCAAAAGGTAACTTGGGTTTGGATCTTTTCAAGCATTTTCTCCAAGTAGGTACTCTGGCCATGGAAAATTTGACTGTTCCTCTTGGTCTAGATGACCCATATGGTGGCTGCTACAGAGGCCTTCCAGAAAATGATATCGAGTTTGGGCCAAGGGAATGGGTGGAGGGAGCTGAAATAGAGAGGGATCCATTTGGGGGTGATCCATTGGCAATTGAAAGGGAGCCTCAAAGTTTCCAGGCCATAGGGCAATGAATGAAGAGGTGAGTGTTGCTCTCCTTGTTGTTACAGCACAGATTGCATCTACTGGGGATGGACAGTCCTCTTCTTTGCAGGTGGTTAAGCGTGAGAGCTCTTTCTGAGAGAGCAGTCCAATTGAAAATTTGGATATTGGGAGGTGCTATGGAGGACCACGCTTGGGCAATGATGGAATTTGGAGAGTGAGGGAAGGTGGGGGGTTAAGTGAGCTTAAGGTAAAATAAGGAAACCGAGAAGATCCCTAAAGGGGAGGGACACCATATGATCTGGTCAATCCCAGAAGGTGGAATAAAAGTGAGTGAAGGAGGGAAGAGAGATCAATGAAGTCAACAAATTCCAGATCTGAGGCAGGTCTCCTAAAGGTAGATTCCATTCTCTGAAGGGACTTGAGATGGTGAAGTAGTCTGCCACATTTGCTAGGCAATCGAGGGCAAGGAAGAAAAGAGGTGGGAAAAGGTCTTGGAGAGGAGTGTGACCAATCCAACGGTCTGACCAGAAGCAAACCTTTCGACCCTCTTGAGGGCGCAAGCAAATATTGACTTTGAACAGGGTAAGGGAGGTCTGGAAGGACCTCCAAGTACTTGAAGGATTGCTGTATTCTTGGACCTTGATGTGGGTGATAGTGTTGTCGCGTCTTCTACAGTTAGCGATCCTATGGAGGAACACCGTATTAATGTCCCTAGATTTGAGTCAGATCATTCTAGACATTTGGTGCCACAACATTTCTTCTTTTTTGCGGATAAAATGGTAGTCGAGCTTGAGTTGAGCCCTTCGATGGCTTTCGATGGTGTATAGGGCCCCCTATGTTCTTCCAAATTATCTTAGGCCTGAATGGACTGAAGAATGTGAGTTTTTTGGAATTGGAAGTTTACAGGAAGTTGAGGGCTCCAGTTTCTCAAAGATTCTTTCAGCAAGCGTAGTTTGCATTGGAGCTTGAATCCTACCCATTTGGAGGTCGAGGTTGAGGTAGAGAAAGACTCCCACCTGGGAGGGATAAGAATTGAGCTTCCATAATCCAGGACATCTCGAATCTAAAGGGTTTAGTATCCTTGGTTGTTGTGAGAGTGTTGAGCATGATGGGGCAGTGGTCAGAGGCTGGCTCGGGGAGAGCTGAGTCGTGAGATCCAGGGAAAACACTATGCCACTGAGGGTTAAAGAGAAATCGATCCAATTTGGAGAGGGATGGAGAAGTGGAATGATTAGACCATGTGAAGAGGGCGCCGTGGAGTGGAACATCTTATCTTGTTCCTGGAGATAAAACCAGAGAATTTGAGCATCCTGGAGTTGGAGTTACATTCAAAAGACCAGCGTGTTATGTTAAAGTCACCTAGACACCAAGAGGGGTGAGGAAGTGAGGCCACAGCGTCAACTTCAGCCCATAGGAGGTCCCTAGAACTCTCCAAACAGCTGAAAATATCCAAGGTAAGCCATCAAAAATTCTAGACAAGACCACAATGACTGAGAAAGAGCAATGTGGGCCGAAACTAAGGCGCAGAGGGTAGGGTCCCAGATGGCTTAAATGCCTCATGAGGCCCTAGAGGTTGGCAGAGCTTCCCATAGGCACGGTCTCCGACCTCAGACCTGTCGAACGAGCAAAAGAGAGGGGGAAAGTAACTTAGTTTCAGTGAGGGCAAGGAGAGGGAGAATGCTCGCGCACTGCCTTGCACTTATCAGGATGTCCCAAACCCCTGATGTTTCAAGATAGGATGATCATTAGGAAAGCTTTAGGGAGGAGACATGTCTAGGAGAGCATTTGAGAGACAGGCCGTCTGATTGGGCATAGCTTTTCTTAAAAAATGTGCTTTCATTTATTCCCTCAGTATGGGCTCCCTTTTTCTGTTTTCCTTAAAACTCATTTTTGAAAATTTTGAGCTATTTTTAATGAGTTTTTCATTTTAAAATTTATACGATATGAAAAGTCTTATTTATTTGGTAAGCATGTCATAGCATTCATGTAGGATATCCGCTCGTGAGCACTCCATTAGGTGTCAGATTGAATTTGTATCGCAGCTAAGACACCCTTTCACTATATTTGAAACCATAAAGCATTTGCAAATCCTCTTAGATATTGCATGCCCCCTTCTGTTTGACAAAATATCTCAAGAAGTACTGTCCTCAAACACACCATGATATGCAACTTTTAAACGTGGATATGCTTCCAAAGCTTTTCGATTTCTTCACTTTAATAATAATGACCTTAGATTTATTGGTTAAGTTTTGTATAGAAGGAATAAAAAAAGTCTAACCATGAAATCTCCAATATTAAAATATCTAGAATACTTTTCTAAAATGGACAAAGGATATGGACCCATATTCATCTTTTTGATTCATAAAATGCGGATAATTCTCTCTGTCCTGGGTCAACTTGGATGCTCCTCTTAAATGAACTTTGGGAGACTGTATGGTACTTGGGAGGTTTGTTGTGAGATTCCTTGGTGCCTTTTG